CATGCTGAAATTTACTAAATCAAATGCCTTGCTTTGAACTAAAAGGATCAAAACTGTGGGGCAACCCTTGTCCCAAGATGAGGCTATATCGTTGGACAATTTTAATAATGCCGTGCTAGTGCTGTGTTTTTCTTTGAATCCAGACTGAATTGGAGAAATGATATTATGTTTGTTCAAATAGCTTATTATTTGGGTATGAATGATTTTTTCGTTAAACAAAGTAGGATTAGATACTTTACAAAGAGGTAACACATTGGCAATTTTCCATAAATGTGGAAAAACACCATCGTCAATAGATGAATTAAATAAATGCTGTATTTCATTAACGCAATATGGTAACACAATATTTAAAATTTTAATATTAATTTCGTCAATACCAGTTGCTTTGTATTTAATTGTTTTTAATGCCTTGAACATGTCTGCCTGTGAAACATATTCAAAATTAAAAGCAATATTTTCTTTATATTTATTACGAGTATAAAATAGACACAACTCATTATCAACAGTAGACTGTCCAGCCACAGTTAAAAAATAGTTATTTATTTCATCCGGCCGTTGCAATTCTTTTGGTACCTACCGTTTGTTTAAATGATTTTACCCCCCAATTATTTAAATTTCTCCACATTTCCTGAGAATTATTTGAATGGTGACGTAGCATGAAATTGATAAAACATGATATTTCTCTTTTTATTGCAGCAGTGATATAATCTCTTAGAGTAATATAATATTGTTTATGAGTTTTGCTTTTAGTTCTTAAATATCGATTTTGCACTTTATTTCTTTTATCATCTGTATAATATTATAGATTATGTAGGGAAGGCATTTATGTTTATTTTGGTTAACAGTTTTCGAAATTACGGGAGCATGACAGTTAAATAGAGAAACAAATTGTTCAATTAAAAATTCTTATATTGTATATTTTTTGCACTTACCTTTGGACTTTCCAATACAATTTCACATTAAACCATCAAGTGATTTGATATATTAAAAACATCCATTACTGTGTTGCCAAATTTTTGAATGCCTATATCTTAAAAGTTTGAGGTCTTGGTCCAAAATTTTTAAATCACCCTCTATATATTTTTATTTACATGTTTTTCCATTTGTCATAATATAGCGAAACTAACTGGAAAATCGCTTCATGTAGGCAAACAAGGCGAATTATAAATATTAATGGGGCGCGAATTGTTTTAGTTTTGGAACGGTGCCAAATGTTGTACTAACACTTGGTGTATAAAGTAAGTTTATTCTCACTCAAAAGTTAGATAAGCGCCTTAATTACTTATTTAAGCTTTCAGGTTAGATTTAGTATGAAGTATTGTACATAACATTTTCAATAGATGGTGCGGAACTTAATTAGTTTCTACGATTTCTGATTCTAAAGATTTTCAGTCTTTCTCTTAGTTTCAATCAATATGCATTTAAAAATTATTTTAATTTGGACGGCTGATTAAAATTTATCTTTTCGAAAACCATAAAAAATTGTGTAATTTAACACGGAAATGAATGAATATAAAAAATATAAAGACATCAATATCAAGTTTTGTAAAGATTTAAAGTATATTTTTGTCATCAATATCAGAACAGATTGCAGCTATTACAACTAAACTACCGCAATCATGAACGTTAATGACACATGATAGCCGTTGATGGCACAATAAAGTCCCTAATGCGGAGGCAAAGTGCGCAATTTGACTCTATGTTCATTAAAATGTGCCAGTTCATAGCTCAAGCTGAAGTCGATGTCAGCACCTGGCTGGCCTTTAAATGTCGCATACGTTAAACTGTTGATTCTTAATTCCGAAATGTCTTGATTAAATGTTCCAAGTCCCGTATTATTAGCGAATCACCATGTATATCAAATTGCCAGAGACTTTTTAATTGCTCAAAAGTATTTTATAGAGACCTCAAAATACTTGATCGTTTGAAAGAGAATATTAAGAAAAATATACCATGTTTTCAAAAGATTTCAAGAGATTGCCTTTAATAAAAGATATTTTTCACAATAATATTCGAGCTAAAGAAAAAAAGAAAAGTCTAAAAACGTGTTTCATAGAAAAAAGCAAAAGCTTATTAGATAATGTGTATTTTTGTTATATTATTAAAATCTTCTTGTATAATAAAAGGATTCCCTAATTGGTGCTTATATAAAGAAAACTTCTTTCTTGTGAGCATAATATATAATAATAATATTATAATCCGAGTAAATAATGCGCATTATCTCGAGTGTAATAATATGTTTTTTACTTTAATTAATTAATTTTTATAACTAACAAAATTTATTAACACCTCCCAATGGTGTTAACCATAGATCTGCCGTGCTTAATGAAAACGCCGTAACCAACAATTTTGCGATTTTTGGTTTACGGCATTTTCTACTAGAACAATTCATCCTGCGTCTATACCCGGTACTCAAAAAACCGTATCTATATCTATACGGTTTTTTGAGTACCGGGGATAGACGCAGGATGAATTGTTCTAGTAGAAAATGCCGTAAACCAAAAATCGCAAAATTGTTGGTTACGGCGTTTTCATTAAGCACGGCAGAGATACCGTCATAGGTTTCTTGATGCAAAAATAATATATAAAATTTTAGAAATTGTTAAATGTTTCTGAAGTTAATAACTATAGGTATAGGGAATATATACTATAGTAATATCAATCAAAAGGTTTTTTAATTTTCTATTTAATTATGTAAAAACATACCGGGTGTTACTTTTGAAATAAAAAAGTTATTAACCTTTCAATTTGGCCTAATTTGTCCTGGTTAATTTATTAAAAAATATTAAAGAATTCACATGGAATTTTTTAAACAAAATTTTAAGATTCCAAAAATTCCAACCCCATATTTTCAAACCTGATAACAAAAAAATTATAGGCTATTTTTGATTGACCATTGTTAAATTTTAACGAAAAATATTCACTTTAGGTATAGGACATGGTACCTATAGTAATTTTACTCAGAATTTGATGTTGAATATAAAAATTTAAAATGTATGGTGTATTTTATTTAAAATAACAAAGTTGATCTCACTTCCGGTTAAATCGGAAGTGGCATTTTATTCAAAATATTTTAGAAAAATAGATTTAAATGGATTATAAACGCTTTAAAATTTCAAATCGATATCTTTTTTCGTTCCCCAGAAACTTCTAATGGATCACGAATGTGAAACACCCTGTATATCTTATGAAAGTTTTTATAAATAACACTCCAATTCATTTTGTTTCTTTTGTATTATCTTTGACGAAAAGAATTTATTTTAGGAAATATAATTAAAAAAAATATATTAACTTAAAATACTCATTAGTTTATTAAAACACAATTAAAACACAATTTTTAAAATAACAAAATACCCAAACCACTAAATTATACATTGGGTCCCAGAAGTCGCGCAACACCTTGAAGGGGTCTGTAAATTCCCCCAGGAATCTCAGTAAATAGTTTATACATAATTATCCCTTTATTAATTAAAAAGATATAGGATCCTAAACATTAAGTAAGTTTTTAAACTTAAAAATAAAACGTGTACTTTGTTTATATTGTTTTAAATCCTATTTTACAGAGTGGCCCAATGAAAACGGGGGGAGATAAATAAATAATATATTTCACCTTTAAATTTTAAGTGGCATGATACATGCCCTGTAAGGCAAATAATATCCCATTCAAAATTTTTGCTTCCCTGAGCATCATGAATAAAAAAATCAAATTTTATCAATTTGTTATTATTATTAGAATGTCTGCCATACAAAAAAACAAATTTTGAAGTATTTGGGTATCTTTAACTTTATAAATGACCCACAGAAAGTCTACACAGGTCAAAAGTGGAGATCTGGTCGGCTAAGCCAGAGCCCCACTTTATCAAATCCATTGTCCAGGAAACATTTAAAAACTTTCTAAAACGCAGTACATAGTATGGAGGACCTCCACTGGAGGTGCCCCATCTTGTTGAAACATTAAACGGTCTTCGAGGTAGCAGTCATTGTTTTCAACAGTAAGGGAGGAACTACATCTGCTAGTAATTCCAAACAAGATCCTTCTGTCAGGTTATAATCAAGAAGAATGGGTCTAACCAGACAATCTCCAAAAATACCTACCCAGACAATAGTTTTTGAGGAGCTTGAGTGTGGATTTGATTTTCATTTGGTCAGTAGCGACAATTATGACGATTGACAGTTTAGTTACGAAAAAATGTACCCACTCTCGTCTAAAAAACAGAAGTAAAAAGCAAATTCTTATAATAAGTTTTTAATCAGTTATAATTTTGCAAATTTCAATCGCTGGTCAAAAACATCCACACAATACTAATTGAGAAACTTATTTGGGTATACGACCCAAATTTATTAAGCTAAAAATTATAATTAAAAATTAAATAGATCAAAAACATGATACTAATATGAACCACCTGAACATTGGTATGAGGGGGGTAATCTCCAAAAAAGTTGTGACGACATGGAATACCCCTTATACCATTTTTTTATCTTGAATCCATCTTAAAAATTCATGAATTGCAAACATTATTATATTTTCCAGTCTACAAAACTGTATATACATATATACAGTGAGCGCGTTAAAATCCCCCCTGTGAATTTTGAACCAAAAAAGATATCGATGTCGGACAAAAACCAGGGTATATTGTGTATACTATTTTTTGACGTCAAAATGAAATTTTTTTGCCTAACAAGTGCCTAGGGGGCAGTATCAGCTGAAAAATTTCAAATGTAAAGGGGGTGCTTGAGATACCTCAAGCACCTCTCTATTTAACACTTTTTTTGTTTTTAAAATCCATTTAACCATAGCTTTGATTTTAATTTATTAGGAAAAATTTAAATTAGATGTTCAAAATGTTCTCCTTGGACAGCTTGACACACAAATAGCCTATCTTTAGCTTTAGCTAAAGCAAATTGAACTTATGTAGTGGATTTAGTGCTATGCGCTCACACATAAGTTCACAAAATTGCATTCGGTGATCAGGGTCATATTCAGTTAGTTGGTGGAGTATTTAAAGCTTGTAGGGATAAAATTTGTTCTTCTTTAAATATTTCCTAACAGTTGTTTGAAATACAACACAAGGCTCTGCAACTGCGGCCGTCGATTGTTGTATAATATTGACAACCGAACCAACTATTTGCACCTGTTTCTCTTCGGAAATTGATTTCCTTCCCGATCTTTTCTGCCTACCCACACTTCCACTTGTTTGAAATTTTGCCACCAAATCCCGTAGATATTTCCTGCAAATAGGGTTTTTTGGGTATCTTTCATTAAACACCTTTTTTGTTTCGTGCAAATTTCGCCCCATTTCACCATAAATAAAAATAGCCTCCGTTTTTTATTCTAATGAGAGATGGCGAACCATTTTACAACTAACAATTTAGTACTAAAGATATTAATTATTTTATTTTTGTATCTTCTTAAAGACAGGGTATTAGTATGGGTATTTAAGGTAGTTGTCGTGGTACAATATTGTCAAAAATTTTTAGATTATACGCACCGTAAAAGTATACGAGCTTGTATCTAAGTGATTCATAATTTTTTCGCAAGACTGTACCCTGGAGACGTTACCTTTACGTAATACTTTCAAAGTTTTAATGCGGCAACATCGCTTATGCTCAACCAATAGATATATTGGAGACTGAATCAGTTTGTTTGAATTTACTGCGGAAATAATACCTATACTCCCGTACAGCGTTGCCAAGTTGTTTTTATCTGACACTAGTGATGTATACTTTTTACAAATTGTTTAACTTTAAACGGTTATTTATAAACAATTGGACGGTGAAAATTTTTTAATTATTTTTGTTTAAACTCAGCAAAAATACATTAAAAGACTGTTAGTTTTTTGAAAGCTTCTGACAGTTAGTTTTTTTTTATAACTAAGAAACTGGTACAGAACTACAGAAAGCGTATACAATCCATGTTATTTATCCAATTTTTAATTGAATTTATCTCAGGTTATAGACGGTCAATCGACTTAAAATTTTAAGGATAATTGTATTGTAATGTCCTTAATAAGTATACAAAAATTTAAAATTTTCTGATGGTATGCTTACAGCACGACAACTACCTTAAAACAAAAAAGTTGTCAAAAAACGCATAATCATTGCACTGGTTTGCAATAATTCGCACTTCGCAAAAATGTGAGTAAAGCGACAAAAACGCTTAATAACTAAGCTATGGTTAAACGGATTTTAAAAACAAAAAAAGTGTTAAATAGAGAATTAAAATACCTTTCAAATGAGTAATCACAAGCACCACCTTTCCATTTAAAATTTTCAAGTTGATACTGCCCTCTTGGCACTTGTTAGGTAAAATAATTTTATTTTGACGTCAAAAAGTAGTAAACAATAGTTTACCCTGATCTTTATCCTACATCGATATCTTTTTTGGTTCAAAAGTTCACAGGGGGGTTGATTTTAACGCGCTCACTGTATATATATACACAAAACTGTATATATACTATATATAGGTACATATAGGTTTAAAGTTCTATACGAGTAAAAGCTTTTATATAATGAGCAGGTTCCATAATACCAATTTTTTCTAATGATACTTGTAAATAAATAGTTTTAAAGAACGTTTATTGTTTAAAAAGCAGGTTCCATAATACCAATTTTTTCTAATGATACTTGTAAATAAATAGTTTTAAAGAACGTTTATTGTTTAAAAAGCAGGTTCCATAATACCAATTTTTTCTAATGATACTTGTAAATAAATAGTTTTAAAGAACGTTTATTGTTTAAAAACATATAAAAGGCCCATCCAATTAATTTCTATTGTGTTTGCGAAATTTACACAAAGCCAGACAGTTGTTGCTCGTGCGGTAATAATAACAAATCGATGACGAAATTACGTTTTGTGTTTAATAACACAAATGAGTGGTTAATTTTCTTTGTAGCTAGCTTGCCAACTTGTGTGCTTCAATTTGTCTCTTTTAGCCCGCATACGCAGTTTCTTAGCAACAGTTTCGCAAAATCGATACAGCAAATCAAATCGCAAGCAGTTCACAGTACGTAAATATGATAAATATAATTCAATCTAAATAAAAAGTTTTATTGATTGTGTTTTTATTTGTTTTGTTGATGTTGTTGCTAGAACCCCTGTCAGGCTGCTCGAAGAGCAATTGAAATGTTTTAGGGTTTCTTTAATTGTTTTTATATAAATAGATATTTTTTTTATTTTGAATAAATAAACACTGACATGTATTCACAGAATTTATTCCAGCAGTTGTATGTTACATGCACCCGGACTGAAAACTACCGTAACAATCAATTTGAACACGAGCAGTTAATTTTAATACAGTTTACCAATTTTTATTTGATTGCGTTGAATTTTTAACACAAAAAGTTAGATAAAGCAACAAATTATGTAAATTTTATTGAAACTGTAATCGTATTGTAATTAGGCGGCATTTAAAAGGCAATCAGTTGCGCTGCACTAATCAAAATATACTGTTGTTTTATTTAACTTTTAAAAAAGAAACGAGTATTTCTAAACAGTGGATTTTAATAAACGCAGTGCAGCCAAATCTTGCCTCTTGTACTCGCTGGCTGTTTTCTGGTGCTGTAATGGTCTCTTACCCTTTTTGGCGTTCTGTTACCTGTCTTCTCAAATTTCTTCACCCAGCTATTAATTAATTTTACTGATGGAGCACGATTAATGTGTCGTAAGCCATAATGAGCCGAAAAAAATCTCCGCATAGAGATCAAAGAATTCTTGTTTTTGTATTAGGCTTTTATGCCAAGAGCGCGATCTTCACCCGTGAAGCAATCCATTTAAACTGATTTCCCAAAGGATAACCTTCATCACGAGCACAAACTTTTAAAACCGGCACAGTCCTATTTCGAGTTATTTAAAATTTAAAAACGGAATTTGCCCCAGAACATTCAGTAGTTGACAAGTTGTACTTTTTTAGTTTAATTTTTCATAACGTTAGAGACAAAGTATCCTGTTCAAAATATATTTTTAAAGAATTAAGGTTTTGGAATACATCCAAAGGGAATCTAACCTATTTTTCTTGTTCGTGCTTTAAAATGGAAAGTTGTTTGTTCGGATAATTTATAGTCTCTCTATATACTTTTTAAAGAGCGTGTAAAAATTATAGAAAAAAGACAGATAAACAGCATTTTAAAGTTTGATTAAATTTTAACGGAGGTCTTAGCTAGTGTTGCCAAAAACCATATCCATAAAAATTAAAATGACAAATTTAAGAATGAAATAGTCTCCACTATAATAGCGCGACTATTTTTCGTTATTTTATTACGTCTGTTAAAAATTAAACCATTAGGTTTTGGTAAAAAAAATTAGATTACTTCTGTTTTAATTTTATGAACACTCAAAGTAAAATGTTTAATACCTTAGATTTTTTAAACTGTAGTTATAGTATATTATACTATAAAGAATTTGTTCTTTTTAAAATAACTCTTTATTTATTAAATAAGGGCAATTTTAATAGTAAATTAAAACTAACGTAAAAGTTATAACATTATTAAGACACATTGGTAAATTAATAAAAATATTTCTTTACATAGAAAAATGACCGCGATTTACTCCAAATTGTCCAGTAAACTTTCCTTTATAATTATATATAGGTATATATATATATACTTTACTTTATTTTACATATATGTAAAATAAAGTAAAGTAGTGCTCTTTTAGTTCCACCCTTACTTCCTAAGAAGTCCCAGAAGCCAACTGAATGGCTTGAGCGGGTTAGGGGTAGGAACGGACCTCGGGCTTAAAGTCCCCTCCGAAGTCCCTTTTTATACATGCTTTAATAAATTAATAATCCTTTTAGAATTTGTTTAATTAATACACAGAAAAAACGCTAGCATAGCATGAATGGGTGAGCCATTAAACCAATGGGATCTTGTAATCCGTATTCCTAAATAAGAGTTCCTATAATACCAATAGGTTGTTAGCACTGTTTTTAAATTAACAACAAAAGTTATCGCTCCTAAATCTATTGATATTCATATTGATATTTATTTGTTAGAATGGTAGAATGTTATTGCATTAAATACTAATTTGATTTATTTAATAACGTTACTATTATATGTATACTATGTATACATTTAAAGCAATAAATTCTTTGACATTCAGGCAAAATATTTCCCTATTTTGGTTTAATAGTAATTAATTGAGCAAATAACAATTTAGATTGCTTCAATTTTAATGCATTCAATGACAGCGCTGTTCTTGGTACTATGTTAGATTTTTTTCTGTGTACTATAAACTTTATAGTATAAAGTAACAATTCGTAGTTAATTTAGACCACCTGGACAAATGGCACACAGTAACCTTTTTCGGATACATTTGTTTTTAATAAGCCATTTTTTAATTCGGCAGTCGTGTTTATTTAACAAACAATCCAGATATTAACAAGCCTCAACTTTTCACGATAATATTGTTGAAAAAAGGGGTTCAACGGAATGATCTTTTGCATGTAAAGCCGAAGGGGAAATTGTAATAATATATTCCATACTCTATTAAAATAAAATATTTAAAATTCCCCATTTTTGAATTAGTTACAGCATTGTTTAGTAATAAAATTGTAATTTTTACTTTTAAATAATTACTTTTTACCAACTTTGACTGTTGGCTGGACAACAAACTATTGTTAGCGTTAAATGCATGTAGAGTCCATGGTTTAAAACAGCAACACAAAAAATACAACTTTAAAATATTATTTCATTTTTAAAAGTGGCAATGGCGCAGCGATTAGGCAATGTCTAATATGAATCTTCTTGAAAACCAAGAGACCCGAGTTCAAACCCCAGTTCCGTCACAACTTGTTTTAAATTTTATTTGGTACAATTCGACTTCTTATAATTAATTCAATTAGTCAAATATGACAACATTATTTGTAACTAATTCATTTTAAGAGGGTACCTACATACCTACTTATTTTTCATTGTTATAATTATTAAAAAAAATTCAAAATATTTGTAACCATTTTTATTTTTTTTAAATATGAAAACAGTTGGTTCTTAATGAAACACCCTTAGACAAAGGGACTGCTTCCCTTGAACAGTAGGTTGTTGGGGCTGCACAGATTCCATTTTAGTTGTATATTTTTTGTAGCACCGCGAAATTAAAATAATTTGATTTTATTACTTGTTCTGAGTGGTTCTCTTTATATTATACTCAAATAAACCTATAAAACATACACGGATGTAAAATGATTGCCAAATGAATAAACACAGAAGCATTTGAAAGGGCAGACCGACGATTATTTATAAACCATAGAAAACTACCTACTAAATTGAACATCAAATAATCCATAAAACCCTGAGAACTGAA